TGTTTTTGTCAGGCAGAAATTTATTTATACCCCCTTAGGGTGTAAGAGGCTAAGCATGCTTGTAGCGACAGTGGAGAGGAAAAACTCCCTTTAAACAGGAAGAAACCTCCAGCAGAACCAGGCTCAGTGTGAGCGGCCATCTGCTGAGGCCCGACTGGGGTTCAAGGAGACAGAAGCAGAGATACAGAAAGAAGCAGAGATACAAAAGGTGATTGGGAAACACTGCATCTCAGTATTGTAGCAGTTATGTACCGTTGTTACACTAAATTCTGTGACCGTGCAGACTAATGTTTATAAAATACCGGGGTCACAGATTTTGGTGTAACTCTGGTATGCCAGTGATGATTGGCTTTTCTAAATAACAGCTGTAACAGCTGTTATGAAAAAAACACAAATTTTCACTCTACACGTCTACCTTAACAACAGTCAAAACATTATTTTTCTTATGCATCAGACCTTTCTGCGGACAGCTTCTGGCTGATCGGTCAAAAAGGGGACTGTCCCTGGAAAACGGGGACGTCTGGTCGATCTAAACTGTTGCTTTTTAGAAACCAATCCTTACATATTAAATTGTATTTTTTTACTCTATCAAGGGTGAGATCAGTGTCGGATCTAGACCAAATTTTTTAGGGTTGTAATATTTCTTAAGGGGGCAAAGAACAAAAAGAACAATACAATATTAAGCAATAAAATGCATTATTTATGTAATACAGCAATTATAACGATTTATATTTGCATATAATCCATAAGTATAAAATATATAATCCATGTATCTGTGTATTTTAAACCTTTACCTACAGCAACATGACTATTGGTGAGCCTCAGCACCGCTGTGGCTGGAAAACCTTTTACCGTAAATCCACGATGGTTTGCTTAATCTGAAAAAATCCAACACTGATGGAGAGCAAAGATTTAGTGCTTTCAGTCAGTTTATAATACGTAGGGTATATTACACTATTTGTGATCAGCAACACGAGAAACACAGCCTGGATAACAACAGACAGGACGGAGAAGGGAGAAAGGAAAATGCGAGCAATGGACCAGTGATTGTCGGCATAAGTTGGCAGTGTTTCTGTGTGTTTTTCTGTGTTTCTGTTTGTCTGTGCTATTATGTCCTTGGCTAAGGTGATAAACTAAAGATTTCTCATCCTCTGGTAAAGAGGGGGAATAGATTTTTTCAGGGAATTTTACAGAATCCTGCATTCCGATCATGATGGGGATCATCACCAAAACTAATGGATTATTCCTTGGCATGAGGCGCACCTCGGGTGAAAAATATCCATAAAGTCGTAATGAAGTGGTGTAGAAGGCTTATAGCGGTTCATGTTTGAGCTCTTGCCTCGCATGACTCTTATTTCAACCATTGTGTATATTAGCTGCGACATATGAATCAAGATCTTATGACCGAAGAAATTTTATTGACAAATGACTGTTGATATTTGAATGGCCGAATTTAAGTGTAGAAGCTGATGTATAACTGGCCTGCATAAGATAACGAAAAAAAAAAACTCACAGATTTTAAGAGAGGATTTATTTTTTTTAACCTAACAGTCATGTTTTTGGATTGTGGGAGGAAGCCGGAGTACCCGGAGAGAACCCATGCATGCACAGGGAGAACATCCAAACTCCATGCAGGACCTTGGGCTGGGAATCGAACCCTGTACTTTCTCGCTGCAAAGCAGCAGTGCTACCCCGAGCCAGCTGAGCAACCCCTGAAAAACAAGATTACAAATAAAAAACTGGAGTAATTGGTTCCTACCTTGATGCTGTCTCTCTGTTTTTGATGGTTATAAACATGAATTTTCTTCTTATGGTTTGACGACCAGAGGCTCTGAGGGGGATTGAGGAAAACTTAGATCTGCTGTAGATCCATTAATTTAATATTGTTTTACCGTGAAGCATTGCAGGATAATCGGTCTTTATTTAGTTGTCACTATTTGTCTTTCTCATAGTTCTATGGCTCTGCCAGCAGAGGGCGCCAGTCTGTGTATATCTGCTCATTGCACCCGGTGCCAGAAATCTATTTAGGCTTAGAAAGGAAAAAAATCTAAACACTATAAGGATGGTGATTGGTCTATATGACCTTATTTTGTCATGATTAAATGGTTTTAGGCATTTTTTGCAAAGGCATATAACACAACTAACGCTCTGCTTTAGAACTTTATTGAACAGGACTTTATGTTTTAAGGATGATGCAGATATTTGGCTCTGAAATATTTCCATTTCCTTCCTACTTAACAATGAATATTTCTAGTCTATTTCTCTACTTCTATCATGTTAAAAGTATCAAGACACACTTAAACAAATCTTATTGAGTCCAAAAGGGAAGTTTTTTGGAGCGGATGCACACTGGAACAGCTGGAATAAAGAGTATAAACACAGACAGATGGGTTTCTTATCTCCAGGAGAACAAGCATTCATATTCTGCATAGAAAAAGCTATTTAAAATGAGAATAGATTAAATGGAATTATGACCTAAATGAATAAAGATGTGTTTTTTTTTTTTTATCTTTTCGTCATTTTATTTTCTCCATGTGTTTTCCAACCCAAGCCGATCATGTTCTGCATCCTGTGCTTTTTAAATTTAAACGAGCTAATGAGATTATTGAGACATATTCTGAGAACCAACATATTATAATAAGGGAGACCATGGTCTGTTGCAACAGCGGACATTTCTTTTTTCTCCAATAAGAAACAAGTTAGAGTGATGACACTCATGACGTCACTGCAGCTCTGGCAGGGCTGTTTACAGTATCCTAAAGGTCATCCGATGTTTCCAAGAGTAATAAAATACAAAGAACATACAAAATGCATCTGACAAGTGGTGTATTTAGGTGTGTTGTAAATAAAACTGTAGTATTTATTATGCTTGATGATTCAATTTTGGCAGAGTTCTCTCTTTATAAACATGGTTTAAAAAAAATTAAGGCTGAAATTTTATAGTTATACCTTGTTAAATATATGCAAATCTAAAAATAAAACACCTTTACCCACAAATTTGACTTTATTATGTTACCGTCTTTATCCTCAGGACTTAACTAACTTTTTAATTTCTGTGTTTCTTGACTCTTAGATTGTAAACTAATTTATAAAATCACTGTACAAAAATCTGTTAGATGACATTGTTAACATAAATCAGTCTTTTTGCCTCCTTCTAAGGTCTCTTAGAGTTCTTTATTAATGTAAGCTAAGAAAAGTGCTTAAGTCTTAAAAATTATATTGCAATATTTCATACTGTATACATATATGTATTTCAACTATGATATTGTCAGAGTTTGGTTGAGGTTTGAGGACCCAAATGCAGAGGCAGAGAGGCTGAGGAGATTTCTTGCAGTTTAATGGGGGAAAAAAACTGTAAACAAAGGCAGGAATCCAAAAAACCAACTAATAATGTAAAATAAACCAAACTATGGAGAAATCTGGGGAAACCAAACATGAGGAGCCAGGGAGAGACGAGGTAGGTAGACAACAGCATGGGAGGACAGCAAAGACAAGGAACCAAGAAAGAGCGAGAGCAGAGGGAGAGTATAAATAGCTGACAGAGACAAAGGGAGGGCTAACGAGCTGACAAGGAGCAGGTGTGACAGGAGACAACGAGGGAGCCAAGGTGAAAGGAAAACACACACACACAAGAGGGCAATAGAGAGCAGAAAAACATGAGAACTAACATAAATCTAGAAATTACAAAAAAAAGGAATTAAACCAATAAAACTAGAAAAAAAGGAGCAAAATAAAGCACAACAGAACCAAGACCATGACAGATATAAAATATTTATCTTAATATCCTATGAAGTATTTATAAAAAAGGCACCTCTGATGGAATGTGATTAAACAGGTAAAACCTTTGTCATCGTTTTTCTCTTGCTCATAGCACTACTTCCTCATCATTTTTGGCCACGAGGGACAGAAACCTTTGGAGCTGCGGTCAGAGGACGAGTCGGACTGCAACGAGTGGGTGGAAGCCATCCAGCAGGCCAGGTATATTTCATTTATGGGTTTTATTTGATCATTTTCAGGAAAAACTTCTATTTTAATTCTAGACATATTTATATATTTTTTTTTATTTCACCTCTTGTATTTCACTGTGTCAGATAGTTATCCTCTTCAGGCTTCTGAAAAATGCTTATCAAATGTGTTTATTACAGAAACATGACTGTGTTGTGACTTTATGCTAAGTTTCTAATGGATGAATTAGACTTCAGAATGGGATTTACTCAAAGTAACAGCTCTAACGGCCTCTGAAACAATCTCCGAATAAATAATCGCTACAAAATAGAAAATATGGAGCAGATTTTCCTCAGTTATTGTTGGAAGCAACACATTTTGTAAATTGAAATCCTATCCAGATATGATAATTTTCAATTAAAATGAAAGGTTTGTAGAGTAATTTTGCTGTTTCCTCAGATTTTTCAACTTTTTTAGTTTTTGTTTTTCAATTAATTTTATAATATTTTTTTAAACAAATTTTTTATTATTAAATTGCTTTTAAAGGTTTACATTTTTATAATTTTTTTGTTACGTTTTACGAATTGCATTCTCTTCAAATAGCTTTTTACAAATCACATTCACTTCAGCTCAAGCCTCAGTAAAAACGCTCAGTCCTGATGCTCACATTGACCAATAAATAATTGAGGAGAATGTAAAACACAATGTTGAAAGAACGCAATTTATTAAACAAAAATTTGAAAAGAGAACATGTGAATATATCAATACAATCAAAGAATAGTAAAGAAAATATTAGAAAAATTAAAATATGAAAAAATACATTCCACAAATAAGCTTATTTTGTTCTTTGCTTGCAACAATAATGGAACAAAATTCTCTCCGTAAGCAGATGTCTGAGCTCAGCATTTCTTGGAAAAATGTCTGCTGTACTTTTGTAAGCGATGTTAGAGTCTGAATCTGGTCCGTCGGTGTGAGATTAAACCCTGACCGCTTACACAGAACATCCAATACCACAAGATCATGACCAGCGTTTAAGGAGATTTAAACTGCTGGCGCAGCTGATCTGTCACATATAATTGCAAAGAGGAGACAAGATTGTTTTTGTTTTTTGCAAAATGATCAGCACCTATTAAGTAAATTTTTTTCCTTCCAAAGAAGTTGTTTCTAGCCCTGACCCTTGGGAGCAACTTTCTACATGTTTTCCTATTTGTTTTGCTTTAATATTCCTGTACAGCTGTTATCAGAGCAGGGTCACGGGAGGTGCTGCATCGACGTCAGCACTACATGTAAAGCTTACAGGGAGGGAAAATAATGGTCTGTGCACTGATCTGATCCTCGCAGATAAATGATACAAGTTTAAATTGCATATCTCCCGTTTTAACTCTTCTCTTAGGAAATAATTAAAAGTCTTGTTTTTGCTGGAAATCCTTCTGCACACTGGCTGTGCAAACTCTACATTAGAACTTTAGTTAGCCGATGTTGGGCTGCGGGTTGCTGCCTCTGCTGGCACGACTACAACCCTGCTCTCCATGAGTTTTATGGCCTTCTATAGAAGACATATGGTCATGTGATCGATGTCTGTTTACTCTACTGTCAGTGAGCACCAGGGCAGCTGTGGCTACAATGTAGCTTGCCACCATCAGTGTGTGCGTGTGAGTGTGTGTGTGAATGGGTGAATGACTGAATGTAATGTAAAGCACCTTCGTCAACTTCTCTGACTGGAAAAAGCGCTATATAAGTACAGGCCATTTACTCTTTACCATTTACACCGCCATGATGGACGGCATAAACCCATCTGTGTCCATCATAATAATACAGAGCAAGTGTACAAGTGTAGT